GGCTGAAAATATACAGACACATTTGATTTAGACATAATGATATAATATGCGTTGAATACATTTACAGAGCTGTACAGTACATAAATCAGGAGCTGTTTATTATTTTAACAGTAGATGGGATGGTGCTATTCTTATATCTATCGGTGCGGGCTCTTATGGGCTGAATTTTGTATTAGTGGCGGACTGCGCGAGGCGGGTGGGTGTGGGTGGGTGGGTGGAGTAGAGAGGTGCGGGGGTGGAGTGTGTGTAGGCGAAGCAGCGCAGATATGTAGGTGGTGCAGCGAGGGTGTGTTGGTGACAGACCTGATCTAGAGACAAGCTTAACACAAACTATACTGTACACTCACTATCAGACAAACCGACATATATATTTAGTTAGCAACACACAGAGACGTTATAACATATTTTTTTTGTAATGGATATGTAATTTATCTTAATTTTCATCTTCTTCATCGCGTTATTATCATTCTTCACTATTATGGTCACAAGTGCCAGGCATCACCACGAGTTCAACGCTGTTACAGGTGTATCACAAAAAGCCAGGTTAGTTTAGGTTAGATTGGGTTAAGTTAGGTTAGATTAGGATTAATAAGGTTGTTAGGTTAAGTTAGGTTAGATTTGGGTAGGTTACGATAGGATAGGTTAGGATAGGTTAAGTTAGGTTAGATTAGGTTAAATTAGCTTAAGTTAGGTTAGATTAAATTAGGTTAGGATAGGTTAGGTCAGGATAGGATAAGTTGGGTTACGTTAAGTTAGATTAGATTAGATTAAGTAAGGCTAGGTTAGTTTAGGTTAAGTTAAGTTAGGTAAGGTTAGATTAGGTTAGGTTAAGTTAGATTGGGTTAAGTTATGCTAGATTAGGTTAAGCTAGGTTAGATTGCGTTAGTTTAGGTTAGGTTTGGATGGGATGCATTCGGATAGGATAGGTTGGGCTAGGTTAAGTTAGGTTAGTTTAGGTTAGGTTAGGTTAGGTTAGGTTAGGTTAGAAGGGGATGCATTTGGACATTCTCAAAAGATGACCTTACCATGTTAAAGTTGACGTACCGAGACTGTACACTGATATAGATTTATAGATATTACACACGCGCACACTACCTGACCAGTCACACACACACAAGTGGTTCTAACGCATCTTCTCCCGTTATAAGTTTGCTCATATACATACTCGTATCATTTGTAGTGTGTTTGGGTGAAGAGGAGCTTGTTGGTGCTGGGCTAATGTACTCGTACCCTCTCTCTCTCACCAACACATTTCCCTCAACAAGGCGTCACTGTTCTGCCCCTCTCTCTTTTGTAAATATGGTGACACTAATCAATATATTGACACTAATAAATATGGTGACACTAATCAATATATTGACACTAATAAATATGGTGACACTTTAATAAATATGGTGACACTTTAATAAATCCTAATGTAAAACTGAACGAGTTATTGAAGTTGTAAGTTTAGGTTAGGTTAAGTTAGGTAAGGTTAGGTTAGGTTAGATTAGGGTGTTATTGTTAAGAAAGCTGATCAGTTTTAGAAATGTATCAAGAGTAGAAATCCTCACAGAGAGAAAGTGAGAGTTGGGTGATAAGGTGTGGGGGGGGGGGGTTATGACACCATTCTTAATGGTTATTATGGCACCATACTTAATGGTTATTATGGCACCATACTTAATGGTTATTATGGCTCTGCACTTAATGGTTAGGTTAGGCTTATCTTGAGAAGGTTAAGCTACGCTAGACCTGGTGTGTGTCTCAGTGTGTATCACCCTCGCCCTCATCTCTCATCCTCGCCCTCATCTCTCATCCTCGCCCTTAGCTCTCGCCCTCATCTCTCATCCTCGCCCTCATCTCTCATCCTCGCCCTTAGCTCTCACCCTCGCCCTTAGCTCTCACCCTCGCCCTTAGCTCTCACCTCGCCCTTAGCTCTCCTCGCCCTTAGCTCTCACCCTCGCCCTAGCTCTCCCCTCGCCCTTAGCTCTCATCCTCGCCCTTAGCTCACCCTCGCCCTTAGCTCGCCCTTAGCTATATCCTCGCCCTTAGCTCTCACCTCCCCCGCTCTCACCCTTAGCTCTCATCCTCTCTCACCCTCGCCCTTAGCTCTCACCCCCTTAGCTCTCATCCTCGCCCTCTGCTCTCGTCCTCGCCCTTATCTCACCCTCATCCTCGCCCTTAGCTCTCACCCTCGCCCTTAGCTCTCACCCTCGCCCTTAGCTCTCACCCTCGCCCTTAGCCCTCACCCTCGCCCTTAGCTCTCACCCTCGCCCTTAGCTCTCACCCTCATCCTCACCCTTAACTTCACCCTAATCCTCACTTCTCAGTCTCACCTCTCACTGAATTGAATTGAATTGAAACAGTTATTTAGCCAGAAAAACACAGATACAGAGTGGATAATAATAACAATATTAACATGCTGAGTGAGTTGAGAACCTGAGCTCTCTTTTAGGCACCTGATATATACTATACAATTATCTCAAGGAAGTATTATGTAACATTTAGTATCATCTGGAATAATACAATAGCATGGTGGTAATAAGAACATGTTACCACGGTTATCACTTCAATATATATTAATTTTATTTATTTATTTATTTTAATATACATAAATTACAGTGGAATTGAAAACATCAGTAGAATGGGGGAGCAGTACAACATGGATTGTACAGTAATAAGGTTGAACAGGAGGACAGAGCTGTCAGGATTATGACTAGTTGGCAAATATGTTTGTTGCAATGGTAATTACTTGTCTATTTAAATGATAATTTCCGATAAAACGGTTTTGATGGTACAATAAAAGCAGGTACTGTTAATATAGTAGGTGTTACAAGAAATATTAATATCTTAGACAATAGATATTTTTTAAGAGATGGTTTAAAGGAAGGGAGCGTAGTCTTTGCTCTGATGGGTGGGGTAAGTTGTTCCACACCTTCATACCATGATATTTTTTGGAGGTCTGGGACGGAGAGGAGCGCATGGGGGGTGGTCTTAGTAGCTCTGGGTGCCTTAAGTTGTAACTCTGATTATTCCGGAACTGGAAATAATTATTGTTAAGCAAGTGATTGATAGATTTGTAAACAAAGAGGGCACAGCAGTAAGTGTTAATATCTTCAAATTTAAAAATTTTCAATAAAGCAAATTTTCCGTTTGTGTGATCTGTTTTTTTTTCAAGTAGGTCATTGTCCGTACAACTCTCTTTTGCGCAGTAACCGGAGATCGTGTTTTTGAAGAGCCAGAGGCCCCCATAGTGTGTGACAGTGTATCAGGTGTTGGTAGACAAGATCATGATATATTTCTTTCATTGCTGTGAGAGTGAGTGACTGTCGAGTGTGATACATGATACCGCACTGTTTATTGACTTTACTGTGAATGGCTTGTATGTGGTTTCTCCAGTTAAGTTTCTCATCAACAATAACTCCGAGGAATTTAGTATTCTGTTCGCGTTTGAGGACTGTATTACCAAGGTACAGGGGGTCCAAGTCTGGGGTAAGTTTTTCCTTCTGTGAAAGATCGTGTAGTGGTTTTTCTCGAGGTTTAGGGTCAGTTTATTACGTTTTACCCAGCTCCCCACTTTAGTTAATTCAGTGTTCATAGTTCTCATCAAGGACTGGTGGTCTAAGTTGCTGGCATAGAGATTACTATCGTCTGCAAATAAGTTGTATTTTATGAGTGTGCTGGCGTGGACTATGTCGTTTATGTACAGCAAAAACAGTACTGGACCGAGAATGGAACCTTGGGGGACTCCATACAAGATTGGCGAGGAGTCAAATTGGTGAATATTATAGCAGACATACTGCATCCTGTTGGACAGATATGAGGTAAACCAATTGTGGGACAGGCCCCTAACGTCGTAATGTTCAAGCTTTGAAAGAAGGATTTTATTTATTTATTTATTTTTTATTGGGCACTCCCCTACACCCTTGTGTAAGGTGAAGCGCAGAAGCGTTTACAGCGCCCAACAGGGAAGCATGCTAAGTTCATGCTTGCCTTTATGTCTCATGGGTTAAGGGCGTAGAAGCCTGAAGAGTCAATGGTTCATGTCATCAAGTTATTGGAAGCTCCAACAACTCCCTGAATACGAATTCGCAACTTTCGACTTACACCAGGTACCTACTTTATTGGTAGGTGAACAGGGACTAGTGGGGGCTAGGAAGTAAATCCAAACAACTTCCACCGGCCCGGGAATCGAACCCGTGACATCTTGAAAGGAGGATGGTATGGTCGCTCTCTCTTCATGTCTCACCTCTCACCCACCAGCTGTTGTCATCCTCAATAAGCATCACTACTACAATCACCTTTGTTGTGCCTCGACGTTTAATACATAACATTACATCGTGACGTATTTTACTTGTAGCTATGATAATGAGGTGACCGGTGCTGGCCTCCCACACGTGACCCGGGGTCATTGTTGTATGGAGGCCACACAACACCACGTCACTCAACATTTCAAATGTGACGAAAATGTCACACATACAACCCGGCCCTAAATCATTGTCACGTACGTTGGTGCACAAACATCTGTGTAACATTATTAAAGGTACTAGTAACGTATACTGTAATTATGTCACCTAATTAAGACGTCAGTGGTAAGGTGTACACGCGTGATATCACATCATGACATCCTGTACCTGTGCACGCGTGTATACGCTAACGTCATTCCTCGTTTGGTACATCAACATGTTAATGAAGGCTGTAACTACCAATAGAGATAGTACACGATGTGTTTATTAAAATACTATTGTGAATTTACACCCACAGTGTATGTATCCTTTATCTGTGTTTTAATTGGTTAACACTATGTGTTTACATTTCAATGTCGAGGTAAAATAATTTTTGGTAAAGCTACAGCAATTTTATTCCTCATAAGTTGTAACGTCTTTACGTGGGCTCTATTAAGACTTAAGTAAGTCTATTTTAAGTATTCTATACCTAGAGACACCAGGTTAAATAATAATTGCATCAACAAATACATAACGTTCACGAAGTTTTCATAGCCCCTTTCTTCCCTCCTGCAGAGTGACGCAAGTGATGACGTGCCTGTCTTCAATGACGTCATCGACATCTAGGATGCCTATTCGTCGACAGTGAGGCGTGGTCGCTGATTGGCCGAGCATACCATCAGTGATGAGGTCGATGATTTTGACATGCAATATGATATATATTGTGATATAAAAGATATTTGAAGACTACATATTTAAAACTGGTTACTAGAACAGTATATGTATTGCAGAACGTGCAGTAAATATTGTGTTAGTTCAAACAGATTGTGGCAACACTGGCATGGATAATAGTTGCCAAGACTCGCCATTACAGTGAGCGGTGTTGTTCTTGAACAGCAGTGAGAGAGCGAGGAGTTGCCCTCAAGACCTGATGCAGTGAGCATACGTCCTTCACACACCGCAGCCTCACTTGTGGCCTCTCGTGTAAATAAACACACCACTGTGACGCAATACAGACTCTAGACCGGAACTAAGTGCAGTGATCCGTGAGTTATGAGTCTACACGCATGTAAATACTAGAAAAAGTTCATAATAGATTTGTTACAAAAAACGAGGAGAGAAAGACGATATTAAAAACTGTTTGAGGAGAGGGAGTGTCGGGTGAGGGCGGGCAGCTAGCTGGTGCACCACAGATAGCGGACACCAGCTGGAGTATGGTTGAACGCCACTACACCTAAGGATACCTCGACGCCCCACCCCTACCACACCTCACATACTTAGCCACGGTAAGTGTACAGTATTCCCTTGTTTTACCTTCACTTTCTACCCGAACTTAAAAACATCTGGACTACTGTACCCCAACAATCTTAAACGTTCGTGCTGTATACACCCCCCCCCCCCTTAAATTAGAGCTGAGAGAAGAGATTTAAACATTTCACCTAAGATCTCATCACAATCTTGGTGATGAAAAATGGAGCTGGACTCGTACAGAGACTTGAGTGTGCTGTTAGTTAGTTCCAGTGTGAGGGAGCTAGTGAGACCTGGGCCACATTCCTGACCACCAGTACTGCAGCTTCCTTCACTGTCACCATACAACCCTATGTATGTATGTAGGTTAAAGCATCTTAATTTGCACTCCCTCGAGAGACATAGAGCGAGGGGCGACATGATAGAGGTGTATAAATGGAAGTCAGGGCTGAACAAAGGGGACATTACAAAGGTACTCAAACTATCCAACCAGGAGCGAACTCGTAACAATGGTTTTAAATTAGACAAATTTAGATTTAGGCGCGAAATAGGTAAACACTGGTTTGGGAACAGAATAGTGGATGAATGGAACAAGTTACCAAATATCACCATTAACTCGAATACGCTGGATAGCTTCAAACATAGGTTGGATGCTCATATGAGCAATAGGGGTTGAGTGTAAACGGGACTGCCCAGTATGGGCCAATAGGCCTGCTGCAGTTTCCTCCATTCTTGTGTTCTTATGTATGTATAAGTTTAAATGTTTATAATATTGTGTGTGTTTTGTGTCAATATGTATGTGTGTGTGTATGTTTGGGTTGTGGGAATGTGTCCGTACGCAATAGTTTGTGTTGGTATGTGTTTATACGCCAGCATGTGTGTGTGTGCATGCGTGCGTGTAATTTGTTTATCGATATGTAGGAATATGTGTATGTATACTTGTGTATGTGTAAGTGTGTGAATGTATTTAAGCATTTGTGTGTGTGTGTGCGCGCGCATATTTAGCAAAAAATAAGACAAAGACACAAATGAAAGAGATGAGGTACAAGAAAGGAGGAAGAGGAGGTACAGGGGAGGAGGAAGAGGAGGTACAGGGGAGGAGGAAGAGGAGGTACAGGGGAGGAGGAAGAGGAGGTACAGGGGAGGAGGAAGAGGAGGTACAGGGGAGGAGGAAGAGGAGGTACAGGGGAGGAGGAAGAGGTACAGGGAGGAGGAAGAGGAGGGAGGAGGAAGGAGGAAGGGGAGGAGGAAGAGGAGGGCAGGGGAGGAGGAAGATGAGGTACAGGGAGGAGGAAGAGGAGGTACAGGGGAGGGAGGAAGAGGAGGATACAGGGGAGGAGGAAGAGGAGGTACAGGGAGGAGGAAGAGGAGGTACAGGGGAGGAGGAAGAGGAGGTACAGGGGAGGAGGAAGATGAGGTACAGGGGAGAGGAAGAGAGGACAGGGGGGGGAGGAAGAGGAGGTAAGGGAGGAGGAAGATGAGGCACAGGGGAGGAAGATGAGTACAGGGGAGGAGGAAGAGGAGGTACAGGGGAGGAGGAAGAGGAGGCAGGGGAGGAGGAAGAGGAGGCAGGGGGAGGAAGAGGAGGAGGTACAGGGGAGGAGGGAAGAGGAGGCAGGGGAGGAGGAAGATGGAGGTACAGGGGGAGAGGAAGAGGAGGTACAGGGGAGGAGGAAGAGAGGTACAGGGAGGGAGGAGGAGGAAGGGAGGAGGAAGAGAGGCAGGGGAGGAGGAAGAGGGAGGTACAGGGAGGAGGAAGAGGAGGTACAAGGGGAGGAGGAAAGGGAAGAGGAGGTGCAGGGGAGGGAGGAAGAGGAGGTACAGGGGAGGAGGAAGAGGAGGTACAGGGGAGGAGGAAGATGAGGTACAGGGAGGAGGAAGAGGAGGGCAGGGGAGGAGGAAGATGAGGGTAGGGAGGGGAGGAAGAGGGAGGGGTACAGGGGAGGAGGGAGGAGGTACAGGGGAGGAGCAAGATGAGGCTAGGGAGGAGGAAGAGGAGGTACAGGGGGAGGGAGGAAGAGGAGGGGGGAGGAGGAAGATGAGGTACAGGGGAGGAGGAAAGAGGGAGGTAAGGGGAGGAGGAGATGAGGTACAGGGGAGGAGGAAGATGAGGTACAGGGGAGGAGGAAGGGGAGGTGCAGGGGAGGAGGAAGAGGTACAGGGGAGGAGGAAGATGAGGTAAGGAGGAGGAGGAAGAGGAGGCAAGGGGAGGAGGAAGAGGAGGCAGGGGAGGAGGAAGATGAGGTACAGGGGAGGAGGAAGAGGGAGGGGCAGGGGAGGAGAAGATGAGGTACAGGGGAGGAGGAAGATGAGGTACAAGGAAGGAGAAGAGAGGTAACAGGGAGGAGGAAGATGAGGACAGGGGAGGAGGAAGATGGGAGGCAAAGGAAGGAGGAAGAGGAGGTCACAGAGGAGGGAGGAGGCAGGGGAGGAGGAAGAGAGGTACAAGGAAGGAGGAAGAGGAGGTGGGGGAGAGGAAGATGAGGGGAGGAGGAAGATGAGCAGGGGAGGAGGAAGATGAGGTGCAGGGAGGAGGAAGAGGAGGTACAGGGGAGGAGGAAGAGGAGGCAGGGAGGAGGAAGATGAGGTACAGGGAGAGGAAGATGAGGCAAGGAAGGAGGAAGATGAGGTACAGGGGAGGAAGAAGATGAGGCAGGGGAGGAGGAAGAGAGGTACAGGGGAGGGGAGGAAGAGGAGGTACAGGGGAGGAGGGAAGAGGAGGCAGGGAGGAGGAAGATGAGGCAGGGAGAGAAGATGAGGGTACAGGGAGGAGGAAGATGAGGCAGGGGAGAAGAGGAAGGGAGAGAAGAGGTACAGGGGAGGGAGAAGATGAGGTACAGGGAGGGAGGAAGATGAGGAAGGCAGAAGGAGGAAGAGGGAGGCAGGGGAGGAGGAAGAGGAGGTACAGGGGAGGAGGAAGAGGCAAGCAGGGGAGGAGAAGAGAGAGGAGGTGGCAGGGGAGGAGGAGAGGAGGTACAGGGGAGGAGCAAGATGAGGCAGGGGAGGAGGAGGAGGTAAGAGGGGGAGAGCAAGATGAGGCAGGGAGGAGGAAGAGGGGCAGGGAGGAGCAGATGAGGCACAGGGAGGAGGAAGATGAGGGAGGAGGAGAGGGAGGTACAGGGGAGGAGGAAGATGAGGTAGGGGAGGAGGAAGATGAGGCAGGGGAGGAGAAGAGGAGGCAAGGAAGGAGGAAGAGGAGGCAGGGAGAAGAGGAGGAAGAGGAGGAAAGATGAGGCAGGGGAGGAGGGAGGAGGTACAGGGAGGGAGGAAGATGAGGTACAGGGGAGGAGGAGATGAGGCAAGGAGGGAGGAGAGATGAGGTACAAGGAAGGAGAAGATGAGGTACAGGGGAGGAGGAAGATGAGGTGCAGGGGAGAGGAAGAGGAGGTAAAGGGGAGGAGGAAGATGAGGTACAGGGGAGGGGAAGATGAGGTACAAGGAAGGAGGAAGATGAGGTACAGGGAGGAGGAAGATGAGGCACAGGGGAGGAGGAAGAGGAGGCAGGGAGGAGGAAGATGAGGTACAGGGGAGGAGGAAGATGAGGTACAAGGAAGGAGGAAGATGAGGGGGAGGAGGAAGATGAGGTACAGGGGAGGAGGAAGATGAGGCAGGGGAGGAGGAAGATGAGGTACAGGGAGGAGGAAGATGAGGTACAAAGAAGGAGGAAGAGGAGGTACAGGGGAGGAGGAAGATGAGGTACAGGGGAGGAGGAAGATGAGGTGACAAGGAAGGAGGAAGAGGAGGTACAGGGAGGAGGGAAGAAGAGGTACAGGGGAGAGGAAGATGAGGCAGGGAGGAGGAAGATGAGGTACAAGGAAGGAGGAAGATGAGGTACAGGAGGAGGAAGATGAGGTACAGGGGAGGAGCAAGAGGAGGTACAGGGGAGGAGCAAGAGGAGGTACAGGGGAGGAGCAAGAGGAGGACAGGGGAGGAGGAAGAGGAGGTACAGGGGAGGAGGAAGAGGAGGTACAGGGGAGGAGGAAGGAGGCAGGGGAGGAGGCAGAGGAGGGGGAGGAGAAGAGGAGGCAGGGGAGGAGGAAGAGGAGGTACAAGGAAGAAAGAGATGAGGTAAGGAAGGAGGGAAGAGGAGGTACAGGGGAGGAGGCAAGGGGAGGAGGGAAGAGGAGGTAAGGGGAGGAGGAAGAGGGGAGGACAGGGGAGGAGGAAAGAGGAGGCAAGGGAGGAGAGGAAGAGGAGGCACAGGAGGAGGAAGAGGAGGCAAGGAAGAAAGAGATGAGGCAGGGGAGGAGGAAGAGGAGGCACAGGGGAGGATGAAGAGGAGGTACAAGGAAGAAAGAGATGAGGACAAGGAAGGAGGAAGAGAGGTACAGGGGAGGGAGGAAGAGGGAGGCATGGGGAGGAGGAAGAGGAGGTACAAGGAAGGAGGAAGAGGAGGCAGGGAGGAGGAAGAGGAGGTATGGGGGAGGAGGAAGAGGAGGTACAGGGGAGGAGGGAAGAGGAGGTATGGGAGGAGGAAGAGGAGGTACGGGGAGGAGAGGAAGAGGAGGTATGGGGGAGGAGGAAGAGGAGGTACAGGGGAGGAGGAAGAGGAGGCAAGGAGGAAGGAAGAGGAGGTAGCAGGGAGAGGAAGAGGAGGTACAGGGGAGGAGAAGAGGAGGTACAGGAGGAGGAAGAGGAGGTACAATGAAGAAAGAGAGGAGGACAAGGAGGAAGGAAGAGAGGACAAGGAGGAAGGAAGAGGTACAGGGGAGGAGGAAGAGGAGGTACAAGGAAGGAGGAAGAGGAGGTACAGGGGAGGAGGAAGAGGAGGTAAGGGGAGGAGGAAGAGGAGGTACATGAAGAGAGATGAGGTACAAGGAGGAAGGAAGAGGAGGCAGGGAGAGAAGAGGAGGCAGAGGAAGGAGGAGGTACAGGGAGGAGGAAGAGGAGGCACAGGGGAGGAGAAGAGGAGGCAGGGAGGAGGAAGAGGAGGCAGGGAGGAGTAAGAGGAGGTAGCAAAGGAAGAAAGAGATGAGGTACAAGGAGGAAGGAAGAGGAGGTACAGGGAGGAGGAAGAGGAGGTAAAGGGGAGGAAGAG